ATGTAAGTGGAGTTATTCATATCTTAGACTTTGTTTCATATAGTATTTATATATCGTCGATAGTCTCTTTAGTAGCAAATGCACAATGATCATATGGATTTATTAGAAGAATTTACTCAAGTAGGTTTGACAAACAAAATAACAACTAGCACTAGTAGTCATTTATCCTAACGCAAAAAGGATAACCTAGTTGATAGTTTGCTTGGCAAGAATCATAATGAGAGAAAATCCCTACATTCTCTTTTCATAGCTGCAGATAGCTTTTACTATACAACAAGTCGTTGACCACAACTCATTGGAGTGCATTCTTTTTACAAATGACCAAAAATTGGATCATATTGCTATTCTATTCAATAAGACGAGAATTTTGATTTTGCTACTGGGTCTGATTCTGCATAATATGATGAGCACCAGTATACGACACAGACTTTTTACACTTCTTTTTGCACTTTAACATATATCCTCACTTTTGATTTCTCTTTTTCTTACTATCTAAAGTAGTTCATAGAGAGTCTTTTGCCTTGATTGTATACTTTGTTAATTTAAATTAAAAAAAAGCAATTGAATTAATTTTTTTTACAAAGATTCAATTGGAAAGGAGAAAAATTAGAATGGATCGAAAGAAATAAATTAGAAGAATAATTTAAAAACGAAAATAAAGAATCAACAAATGAAGAAAATAAAAGAGAATACAAAATGATAATATTAAAGTTGAGAAAGGGTTCCAGAAATTAAAGGAAATGGAAAGAAGGCTAAAAGAGGAAAAGAAATAACTAGTTTGTTTGATTGAATTTAAAAGTAGAACAGAGTAGAAGAAAAGAGAGATGTTGGTAATTTCTCAGTGTTTTTATAATACTAAATGAAAAAAAAAGGATGGTGCTTGGGCATACATACACATAGAGAAAGTAAGGATTATGAATTATTTGGGGGTTTTGATTTTGAGTATGGGTTGCATGCATGAATGGGAAATTTGGATGTAGGGGTTAAATCATGGTGTTTATTGTGATTTGGGAAATTGCCATTGGGAAGAAAGGGGTGAATACAAAGGCTAATTTGATTTGTAAAATTTCATTATGTGTAGGTAGGGTGGGGGGAAGATTGGGTCAATTGGAAATGGGAAAGAGTTGGGGCAAGTGTAATTTTGAAATTGCGATGAGAGTGTCAATAGATAAGAATGTGTAAATTGAGAAATGGGAAGGGTATTGGAAATTGCGAGGGCACTGTAAGACAGAGACAGAGTTGGACTTGAAATTTAGTGATAATTTATAATATGTATGTAATAGTAAGCTAATTTCCATACTGTCCACGCAATGTTTCCAAATTTTTATAGCAAGCTCTTAGTTGAAAGTAGTCATTTTCTTAATTTACAAAAGAAAGTAAAAAATGAATTTAAAATAGTTAATTTCAACAATGAAAGCATCAATAACGATGTTATCATTATTTTGCTGCTTAAGTCTAAAATATTAATATTCAATGGTAACTTTTATATCAATGTTATAAATTGAATAAAACTAAAAGAAAGTAATTCAAAGGGAATTTATTTAGAACACCCGCTGAATTTATAAAAAGAAATAATTTTTCGTTTTGATTTAAAAAGTTTCTAAAAATAGTAACAACAGAGGAAAAACTAATAAAAGCGTAAATAAAAATCAACATTGCTAAAAAAAGACTACAAACGAAAAATAACTAAATATTTTTTTTAAATCATTAATTTGCAAGATAAAAACCAATCTTTACGAATAGTCTAACAGAACTGTAAATTGTATACAAAGAAAGAAAATTTTACTCAAAGAATAAAACATATTTAAAATATTTTAAGAAAAAATAATTATAAAAAAATTAAAATAACAAACTCGGGTAACAAAAAAATAGCCGTTCATTGCATTATAGTCAAAGTTAAAAAAAAATAAGATTCGATAATGTTAAAGTATTAGTAAATAAATCAGTTCAGGCACTGACTTACGAAGGAATAGTGTAGACTTTACTTACATTGACATTCAGTATCAGGTTATAGGTAATTAGTAGTTATTTATTAGGTTTATTAGGGTTTATTAGGGTTTATTAGGGTTTATTTAGGGTTTATTTAGGGTTTATTTAGGGTTTATTTAGGGTTTATCTAGGGTTTATTTAGGGTTTATTAGGGTTTATTAGGGTTTATTTAGGGTTTATTAGGGTTTATTTAGGGTTTATTTAGGGTTTATTTAGGGTTTATTAGGGTTTATTTAGGGTTTATTTAGGGTTTATTTAGGGTTTATTTAGGGTTTATTTAGGGTTTATTTAGGGTTTATTTAGGGTTTATTAAGGGTTTATTAGGGTTTATTTAGGGTTTATTTAGGGTTTATTTAGGGTTTATTAGGGTTTATTTAGGGTTTATTAGGGTTTATTAGGGTTTATTTAGGGTTTATTTAGGGTTTATTAGGGTTTATTTAGGGTTTATTTAGGGTTTATTTAGGGTTTATTAGGGTTTATTTAGGGTTTATTTAGGGTTTATTAGGGTTTATTTAGGGTTTATTAGGGTTTATTAGGGTTTATTAGGGTTTATTAGGGTTTATTAGGGTTTATTAGGGTTTATTAGGGTTTATTTAGGGTTTATTAGGGTTTATTAGGGTTTATTAGGGTTTATTTAGGGTTTATTAGGGTTTATTAGGGTTTATTAGGGTTTATTTAGGGTTTATTAGGGTTTATTAGGGTTTATTTAGGGTTTATTAGGGTTT